ACACAAGTACCAATCTCCCACATGTCAGACAGCACATACAACCTCACCACAAACACCACAAATTCTAATCAACATACTCACGCTTACACAATGTGCTGCAAAGTTACATCCACACAAATCTACGGACATAACCCTAGTCACCTCACCACCATGAAATTCCGGGACTCCAACAAACGTACACGATTAAATCAATGCCTCTTGAGTGGTCACCTAACCTGCATGCAATACAACTCGGAATATACAACATTTAAGCAGTTTAAACGGCAATTTGCCACGCACCTGGCTTCCGTGGGACACCGGCAGGAATAAGCACGACCTTCGAACCTTCAAGAGCCTTCTTTAATTCATCAGGTCCAGTATGACCCGTGACAGTAGGACGAGTTTCGATGTGACTCAAGTCGGCAGCAACACCTGCGGCATTTGCAATATCATATAGGGCAATTTCCGAAACAAACAATGACTGTTTCATAAGGAGAGCTAATGGTTGACCAATGCCACCACTAGCGCCCAAAATCGAAATCTTTTGCGAAGCCTAAACGGTTTTTAAGTCAGGCAATGTGATAATGTACCTTAGTGGTAGTGGAAAAAAACTTGCTGGATCGTCCAGCTGTGAAAACGAGTTTACGGATGCAATTCATCACGAAGAAAGCCACACAGAAACGCCAAAAACTTTCGAACTGCGGAAGGTCGTTCAGGAGGAGTTAAACAAACGACCTTGACATGGGAATTTTTAAGACAGAAAATTTTTGAACGTGACTATTTTTAAATACTTATATGTTTAGATGCTATTATTCTAGTATGTGCAATTTTTTTGCGCTGTTCAGAACTTTAAAAAAAAATTGTTAACTTGATGACATCTTGAATTTTTTTTACGAGGAAATGGTAACTTATTTTTGCGTAAACTATAATTGGACCATGTAAATGTTCATAAACAGCGTGTGCTTATAGTCTTCTTTGCAATCTGATCCTTGCATTCTGAGGCATTAGTCTAGTATGGATTTCATACCACCGTTTGTGTCGTCTATGAGTTGGAAATGCCGCGAAATTAAGACTAAAATGAAGTTGTGGATGCTTTTCACTGGTGAGAATCTGGCGTGCAATTCAATTTTTGCAAATGTCTAGGTGTTTTAGAACAACAGGAACATCATGATTACTATTTTAATTTTGGTGAGGTTCTACACAGCCCTTTTTAATCCCTTTAGTTGCCTGAATTTTCAAAATTTTGATAGGCATTAGCCAAAGTCGTTTTTTAAGTGTAAAATAGATCTTGGCTATATAATATTAGTAATTAGAAAGTCTCGGTTTTTAGGTGTTATTTCCTTAAGCCTGGTGCAATTAGAATTAGATGAATCTCTTTTTTAACCAAAACCGATGGAAAATAGTTGCGACTCGTTTAATAATGTTATGACCACAACAGGTCTAGTGTGTCTAAACTTCAACGTTGAGCATCTGCATTCTCTATATATTGCTCCCATGCTATATTTCTCAGAAAAACGTCTTAGCTATTCTCTCTACTGTAATCCCACGATATCAAGATGTATGATTTGATGGAACTCGGATTGAAAGTCGCCTAATAAATATGAATTTAAGTTAATAATTGAAATAATTCAAACATTGAAGGCATACACCGCGTATAGTTGAAAAGCTCCATCATTTTGTAATTTTGTGCTATTCAACATTTCCAATTAAATCGATTACTGAAATATTGTATTACATTGTAAATTTGCGCTCGAAACAGTATGCAATTTTACTTCCTTTCTGTTTGTGTACTCTCGGTCATAAAAGGGCCTTTTGATGACATAACCACAAAAGTTAACAATCCGGATTGCGAAATGGACAGGACAATGTTAAAATGTGTTCGTCAACGAATCTGTCTAGCTGTATTTGCAAATGTGATCTTTATTTCTTTAATCGTAGTTAAATCTGATCTGCAGCAACTTCCACCATTTACACGGGTTACACTATCAATATCAAGATCTTCCTGCCTTTTCTCTACTATTGTACACCGCTTATGACGCAGTTAGCGGTAGTGCATAGACCACGTATAATAGAATGATCTCCTGATGTGGCTCAATTAATATCAGGTTTCTTAACAATGTCAACAACAAGCAACATTCAAGAATTCAGGCCCGGTTAAGTAGTGGCGTCATGTTATGCTCTCATGTATTTGTTTTTATAACCGTTGCCCAATTTCCATGCTTCTAGGCAAAAATCTTCGAATCAGACAAAGTTGGTCTGCAAATACTCACTGCAGGACTGTGTGGTCAATTTATTTGCTCAAATCACTTAAAATGGAGGCTTGTCTGTTTTTGGACCGTTGTTAATAAATATTTTTTAAAAAATATAGTATACTTTATGAGCAGTAAAGTTTTTTTAGAATTTGAATGCCACGTAATGGGGTCCAACTGCGCAATATTTAATTGCTTGTTGTGGTGCATTACCTTAAATTTCCGAAATATCTTTATACTCACGATTTTGCCGATTTCACTAGCCCCACACGCATCATTTTTCTTTTTGCATATCATCGATAACTGAGCTTAGTCGGACCATAAATGCGTCCTAGAGCGTTAAAGGCAGCTGCTTAAAGCATAACATTAAAACGACAGCACTGTGTGAGTCAAAAAGTAGTATTCTAGAACTTAGTAACCACCTTTCAGTTATCTGAAATGTCGACATGCTTTATGCGTTATCAAAACCAATATCTGTAGATTAACTCAACTGAGATTACAGAACAAAGCGCGTCATTTAAAACGCAAGACAGCGTTTCCATTTATTGCAATCCTGCCCATGTCCAACAAAAAAGCTACAAATATTCCCACCGCACATTTAAGCTGGCTGCAGCAGCACTTGCAACACTGCCGCATTTCCGAGGACATTTTCTTATTGCTGGAGGAAATGCTCCACCATTTGCCCGAAATAAATGACTATTTTATAGTGGATTAAATATTTACGAACAACAGGCCAGATTTTGTGCCTTTTTTAGGTACGGAAGGTCATGTAATGTTGCTGAACGCTGCTTCCAGCGGTTTCTACGGTGCAACGCCCAATCAAGACGAGTGTGAGTAAGCTGACATCACACCGCTTTTAGACTGTAACATACCCTCCTTCGGCCAATCAATGGCACTCAGATTTGCGTCGGTGTCCGTCCGATTGGCTGCCCATATCGTCCCATTGATTTATGACCTCTGCAGTGTGTTAGGACACTAATAATGAAGCTGAACTGCTGCTAGACCCCAAGCACGAGTGTTCGAGCCCATTTGTTTAGCACGTTAACGGCTCCCTCCGTACTATCACAGCGATAAAACACGAATGAGTCAGCTCCTCGCCAAACTGACACAAGACAACCTCGAGCAGAGAGCTATTTATTTTCTTGGCCAAAGGCCGAGTATGCGTTCAGATGCGTCCACAATAATGTGGCAAGGTGGCATTGAGTGGAAACTAGGGTAGCAAAATATGCAAAGGTGAGCGCGCCGATGAGAGAAGGGCGGTCGGTAGAAATAGAAAAGTGGTGTACATAAACACGAATGATACACAAATAGGACATAGTTAAAGTCTTGAAAGATACAGTTTCGTGGATGCTTTATCCCCATACACAGAGTGATGTAGAGTTCTGTTACGTTTGCGTCTTAGACAGCGATGATCCCCTAACTGGTTTTGACCACTTCGTTCTGTTTGTCCGTGATTGCACGTCCGGAACAAAGACGTAGAATTTCATGTAGTTTGCAATGTATGACAAATCAGTGGTCGTGGCGCCTTGTTCGAGAACCCGAGAACTCGACAGGAGTGATGACAATGTGATCCAGGGGCCTGGCTTTAGCTTGAACAAGGTAATACGTTTTTGCGTCGAGAATGAGTTGCGGACAGTCGTTTTTTAGCTCAAATGGATTTTCCTCCAGAAGTTATCTGTGTTTCAAAACCTCTCAAAAGGTCAACTTCTCAAAATATTTAGCCAAAATAGCCACAGGATGATTTGGAAGCGTTTTTGAAAGAAAGTGGACGCTAGAGCACGAGCAAGATGAGGGAGCAACTGAATGACCACTAGAAGACAATTTGCCGCCACCTGGAGTCAACAAATGAAGTTCAGGGGCGAAAGTATGGACGTCGCACGCGCGAACTGGAAGCCAAAAGCCCGGACGCCTTCCAATTATGGCGACTGGCGACTCTAGGTGAGGAGGTGGGTGAGCAAGGATGGGCAAGATAAAGCTGTAACGAACCCACTCGCTACGACTATCACCTCTACTCTGAACTATTGCGTCATCGAACAGAGGCTACTTGGCGGAACCAAAGTGACTGTCAAGGACATGTGGAACTACAGTCTGACAACATCCAACCGGTCCAAGCACGATCATTTGTAGATTACCGCTGTATCCTCTAACATTCTAGCCGATTTCGTGGCATGACATTCGACGAAAACTTCGAAGCTGGATCAAGCGATTCTTCAATTAAACGAAGTAAAGAAAGCGAGCTGAAGGGCCAGAATGTGCCCGAGAAGGAGTCTACACTACCTAGATTTTGTTGTTAACAAGGAAAAGACTTTCCTTTCGCCTCAACAAATCTAATGAGGGTAAACTTTGGCCATCATTTGAGCGAAATTGAAAAAAAATTCCATTAAGCACAGTAAACGAACTTCCGGAAAAGTGAGGGCGTTTTTCGTAAACCTAGTTCAGACCACTTATCACAGCAGTCTCGATGCAGTGCATGATCCGCGCTAACTCGATGTTTATGAACAGCTACCACCTTCCAGGAAGCGAAACACGTGACAAAAGTGTGATTCAGGGTAGTGGCGGAGCATCATAGCAGATTCGCGCGCACAGCAGCCACCTCCTGGTACAGAAATGGGATCACGTGACAGGTATTGGCTTGATTGCTTTAAAGTTGAGTTCTCCAATGCCAATAAGTGAAGTGCTAATGCGCCAAATTACTTTGAAGAAATTCATGTCCGCACTCTTGCCAACTGACTGGTAAACGCGATGGTGAGTTCTGCACAGCCTGACTGCATGCAAATCGTGACTTGCGGCGTTTCTTGCTCCTCACGATCACCCACTTCCTCCTTGGCATAAAATTTACCAAAAGGCGCCAGTTAAAATACAGGCAGGAAAATCGAAGTTTTAGTTGAATGCCATGCCACGAAATCGGCTAGAATGTTAGGGAACACAGCGGTTATCTGAATGATCATGCTTGAATCGGTTGGGCGTTGTCAGACTGCAGCTCCACCTGTCCTTCGCATGTCAGTTTGATTCTGCCAAGTAGCCTCTGTTCGACGATGTAGTAGTTCAGCGTAGAGGTGATGATCGATTGTCTGATTCCACAAGAGTACGTCGTAGTGTGTGAGTTCCCCACAGCTTACCTTGCCTGTCCTTGCTCACCCACCTCCTCACTTTGAGACACTGGCGACAATGCATGGTGTGTTTTCCTGTGCCGTCCAAGCAAATCAGTCACGATCGCTAGACGCCGATGCTTCTGACTCACATCTTGTTCAGTCGACGTCCACACCCCTACCCACTGAACTGCGTCGATTGACTTTAAATGGCGATCTGTGGTCTGCTTCTAACCTCTACCTTCTTTCAAATTGTCTGCAAAGCCTTTGCATCTTGACCAACGCGGTACCAGACGAATCTATGCGGTCTTGAGATTGATCCAAATGAAGTTTTGGGAAGCATCAATCGAATATTGTCACGGTAACACAAAATGGCAGACTTCTAGCCTATGAGGGTAGCGCGGAAGATGCGTATAATGGGAAATGTCGATCGGCTACAACATAACTTACGGTTAGGTTCCCTTCTAAAAGTCCCGAGGTGAATGAGCAAATTAAAGACAAGACCTTCTGGTACACTTAAGATCGGAATTTAATCAACTCATTAATAAAAACTCGATCTACGCTCAAATCACTCAACCACCTAAGCCCAACAATAAAGCATGTACGCTATTTCAAATGACGGATGACTAATCAAATCCCAAGGACGTTGTCTTTCCCAGTGAGCGATACCTAAGTCGAATTCAAGCTTAAGCATATGCTTCAACTTGGTACAAACCAGCAGTGATTCGTCGTCTACACTCTAAATGGTTTCGAAATGGAACGACGGCTAGAAGCGCCCATGTAGGCATTATAGAGCCTTAAATGCAACTAGCCTTGCCTGGCCGGTAACATTCCAACTATTTTACACTGATTTGATTCCTACAAAATGCCCTTTGGTCTATGCAATGTGGCAAAACTTGTACCAACCATTCGGGCCACGGTTCGTCGTTAGAGGCCCCCACTCGTGTTTTGAAATTCATGTGTGCTGGGTGTTGAGGAAAATAGCCACCTATTTAGCCCCGATGTTCATTAGGTAAAATTGAATTGAGTCACATCTTAAATGCCTTATTCACTGTTTGTCCCCTGAAAGATAACTCCGGACAACTGATCAAATCTACGCTCCTCAACTTATCGCCACATGCCCATTTGTCCGCGCTGACTAACGCCTCACTAGCAAAATTTCGAAAAGCGCGAATCGCTATCCTCAATCACATCATTTGCGTCGACCGCCTCACCCACAACATGAAGACAATCTTCAATGATACGGTTATCAAAAAACTCATTTGTCAAAGAATTGTCAATTCTTGGGTTTTTTCCCCCGTCACAGAAAGGTAATCAGACGCTAAACAATGGCGTTACCACTGTTAATAGGAAAGAGGCCCAAACTAAACCCACTCATCTCCGTTTGCTCATTTCTAAACCCTTAGCTTCGTGTATACTAGTAGGCATGAGATACAATACAACAGTTTGACCGACTTGAGTCTTTGTTGTCTGACGTATCGATAACCACGACGCCATATCTGTGAAGCACTTAGAGCTTCGATTCCACATACTAGGACACTACACTTCCATCCCGTCATAGACCGCCTGCTGCGTCTGAGTGGACAAACACAGAGGAGCTCCTTGGATTGCTCAAGTCTCGTAACAAAGCCTCTTTTAGACTAAACTCATCCTCAGAGAAGTCAGCGACTGATATTCACCAAGTCTGGAGTATTTAACGCTGAAACGCTTTAGACCGAAGTCAACTGCTCCCAGCATCCAAGAGCTGATTGCGCAAGCTCCCAACTACCTACTCTCTAATTTGTTTTGGCGCATCATGAGAGTGGTTTGCATTAACAATCAAGAATTCAGACGGCTCGTTAGTTGCAGCGAAGTTGCCTTCACCTGTCACGCGCCACTAAAACATGTCAAAATGTTATTCTGGCTTCCTTTGATATACCTTCAAATGTGCGCGCCTCAACCTTGGCAATGTGGCTTTGTGTGAAATATAATCAAGCCCGGAAAAGTATGCAATGTCAGTAAATGTGACGGCTGTGATTTTCCTACGGTTTATTAACAGATCTCAATCAATTCCCACGTGTAGACATTGATATTTTGCATGGTAACACTGAGGGCATTGCCTAAATTGATTCAAGAAACGAGGACTGACAGCAGTTCCAAGGTCGGGTGGTAGGGCGTCGACAATTCCAGGGTCCCAAAGAGCTGTTAGAAACAAACCCTGACTTATAGGTGATTTACTGCCGGTCAAACGTAAACGTAGTAAAAATCTCTATCATCAGACTTGGACTTCGTTTGTAAACAGTTTGACACACAGAACTCGGCACGTGTCCACTGCATGAAACGCAGTTGGATATGAATACACTTCACCACCACTGCACTAAATCAAGTTGCTTGCGGCAAGCTGAAGGCCTCTGCATGGTTACAATGCACACCCCATAGATCAACAGGTGTCAAGGGTACTTGGCACAGACGGTGAGTCGGCAAACTCAGGTACACCGCATTCTTTTGGGGTCTTCTGGGGCGACTCGACAATGAGACTGCGATAAATACTTTTAGCAAGCCGGAAAACCCACTCAAACATGCCACGAGTACTTCATAGATGGAATCTACTAAGTCATCAGACTTGTACAATAGGTTAGGATGCTCAATCAAACGTCTAGTGCACGCTTGTGATCCGGAATTACACAACGAGCAGTAAAACGACACGGCATCAAACAACACACGCTGACTGGCGTCTCGTCGGTGAAAATGCGAGTGAACCACACACAAGGAAGAGGGGCATAAACATACAAATAAAGCTGAGAACGAGGTGGTTAATTGAAGCAGTCAAAATAGTGAGGCAGTCACAAAAAAGACGGAATAGTTAGTAGGAGGAAGCGAATTTCTTGCCTCTCTCGATGTTCTTTCGTAACTCCGGTAACGCCTTCTTCAGTAGACTGATTTCGTACTCAATCAGGTTGCCGATTCCATACACCTTTTCAACACCGTTTGGCTACAATCAAACCGTGACAGTGAATGACGTATACCGCGTGCATTCGGTAGGTTTTAAGTGTACCACACTGCCGTCTGCGTGTACTTATCAGTACGTCTGTCGCGTTGTGGTGTAGGTGCGTGAGGCTTTCTTCAGTGTACTTGACGAGCGAAGTGACATTGAAGCCACGAGTTACGCAACACCAAAGCACAACAGTTGCAGCCACAATCCACGCATGCTGCGCCAATTCGGGCACAGTGCATGCTGCGTTTGATTGCCTAGCCCTTTGCAGACATCGCCACACCACATTAACTACCAGGTACGCGGAGTCCTACCTGATTTATGGCCGAGTCACCCTCCAATCACACTCTCAAACACACACACACAGGCAAGGCAACGAAACTTACCCCAAGGAGAACAGGGCACGCGAAGAATTCGGTATCGGCTACATCGCATTCAACAAAGGCACACTCGACAATGTTGGCTTGGCCCTTCATCGCGTGCAGAAGCGAGTTGGCAAAGCGTGCGCCTGCGTAGGCCATGGCAAGAGTTGCTGAACCCTTGACAAAAAAACAGGTGAAATGAACTCCCAGCACGGGAACTGCGTTGTCATTGTAAATTGTAGGCGTTTATTTTTACCTTCCGTGAGCTTGGAGTGTTGTGTGATGTCCTTATCGGGTCAGTAAGTTGCAGGACACGTAGTCACACTAAGCCGTTAAAGGGAATTTGAACTAGAAATCGTTACATTAGGCAACCACTAGTGCCCAGGTGTCCATTTAACAGTGGCTGGTGCTAAATGACCTCCCAGTTAATGGAGTAACATTGGTAGACGTTGTACAGCCATGACACTTTAACCAAGCCTTTCCTCGCACCGTTTATTGGCACGTGTGCGCGCATATCGAAAGCGGAAGTGTAAAATTTGCAACGAGGGCACGTCATACCTCGATAAAATTCCAGACTGGATTTCACGGTGGAGCTAGGCAGCCCAAGTTCAATGGAACGGCAAGATTCTCGAGTCAGGGGTTAAAGCATGTTGGCTGGGAGAGTGTAGTACACAAATAACCATGTCTTTTTTCGTTTAAAAAATGGTAGAGACATGCTCCTGAACGCGCCTTCGCTCCCACATCACGCATCCGATAAATGATAAGTGTTAAACCGGCCCGAGGTGAGTCACCTGACCCACGCCACACCTCGAAATTGTAGCTGAAGGCGTGCAAGACTTGAGACCTCTCGATAATGACCAGTTCACGATGAATTGAGATAAAGTCCGATAAAACAAACTTAGGAGAAAGAATTTTGGGTATTGATGTGCCGAAGATCCACCCAAACATAATTAGATTAAAGGAAACACCCAGACATAAAAAAATTTAAGCACAGCATTCGGAAGCCAATTTGGTGTTACAGCCGACGCGCTTCTTCAAACCTAACACAGAATATTTTGCTCACGAAATCTGCTTCTGACATCCTTCAAAAGTCATCATAAGGCGTTGATTGGTTACTTACGGCATCGGCTTGCGGTGTGACACGTGAAAACTTAAGCATTTCAACAAAATCAGCGAAAAGCATTGTATCGGGTTCAAATTAGTGAAAATCAAACTATGGACAAATTTGGGCATTACGGTTATGCCAACACCAAATAGAAACGCTAGGCCAGAGACACATACGAAAACCCATTTAAAAATTCCCGAAAACGGTAGTCTTTTGGGGAACAATACAGCACGTTTTGAGAGTTTTTCAACGTACGACAGCCCTGCAAACGCTTTTTTAGTATTTTTTAAATAAAAAAAGATCTGCAAAATCAGAAATTTTGCGAAAAATTAAATGTCCATCTAAAATGCTCATCCACATACCGCTCCAGCCTTTGCGTTCACAACTTCGGTTCCAGCGTTCTGAATACGAGCGGTAATTTCTTCACGAATTTCCTGAAACGTGCCAAATGCATTTGACGAGCAGCAGTTTTACCCCAAAGATGGCCATTTTTTATGAAATTGGCTAAATAATATACCTACCAGGGGGAAGGATACTGCTGGGTTGCACTGAGATATAACGGGAATGATTGTATTGCCAGAATGGCCACAGATGACAGGACATGTAACTTTAGAAACGTCCAAGCCCTGGGAACAAATAGTCCAAATCAATACTATTTACCCAAATATTTATTACATCAAAAACTGAAAAACTGGAAGCGAAATGCAGACTTTTGATACAGTCGTTTATACTAAATGCAATATAATTAAAAGAAAGTCTAAATTCTGCAATAGATAGGTACAAAAATATCTGCCGCCTTTTATACTAGTAGTAGTAGTGGATCCACATCTATACCATCCAAAAATGCACAATATAAAGTCTAACAAAATGAAAAATTCTAAAGAGGTTTAAATCAGTGATCAGAATAAATAAGTACAAGTTGCAAACTGAAACTGCTGAATTAGACTCTGTCAGCAAAATGATATGCAAAGTTAGCACAAATGCGACAAAGATAAAGCTATAATACCCTGCAAAATTATTATAAAAAACAAATATTACCTTGGCACTAGCGATGAACGTGTTGGTTCGGGTAATGTCTAGGGTCGTCACACCAAATAGTCGTTTCGGATCATACACACCCTCCTTCTTCAGCATCTCGGCTGCAATCGGCACCGTGCTGTTCACCGGATTCGTAATTACACAAATCATCGCCTCAGGACAGTGCTTTGCACAGGCCCTTGCAAGGTCCGCCACCACAGACGCATTCTTCGAGAATAAGTCGTCGCGAGTCATACCTACAACACAAGACACAAGTACCAATCTCCCACATGTCAGACAGCACATACAACCTCACCACAAACACCACAAATTCTAATCAACATACTCAAGCTTACACAATGTGCTTCAAAGTTACATCCACACAAATCTATGGACATAACCATAGTCACCTCACCACCATGAAATTCCGGGACTCCAACAAACGTACACGATTAAATCAATGCCTCTTGAGTGGTCACCTAACCTGCATGCAATACAATTCGGAATTTACAACATTTAAGCAGTCCAAACGACAATTTGCCACGCACCTGGCTTCCGTGGGACACCGGCAGGAATAAGCACGACCTTCGAACCTTCAAGAGCCTTCTTTAATTCATCAGGTCCAGTATGACCAGTGACAGTAGGGCGAGTTTCGATGTGACTCAAGTCGGCAGCTACACCTGCGGCATTTGCAATATCATAGAGAGCAATTTCCGAAACAAACAATGACTGTTTCATAAGGAGAGCTAATGGTTGACCAATGCCGCCACATGCACCCAAAATAGAAATTTTCGGTGCACACTAAGCAGCTATAAAGTAATAAAGTTTAACGTCTTACCTTAGTGGCAGTAGAAAAATACTTATTGCACCGACCGGCAACGAAAAATACCCTGCGGATACAATTCATCCTGGGAATGCCTTCGCGATAATGTTGAAAACGATCAAACTATATAGAGGTCATTTTGGATTAATTAAACAAATGCCATTTGAACATAAGGATTGTTCATAACTTTTTTTAATTTTAACTTAGCAGAATATAACAGTAGCTATTTTTTTTAATTCTGTTAGTTTCTTGAATATCGATCGAATGCTAAATTTTAAAGCTTATTCAGTGACGACGGGCTATAACAACAATGGATCCTTCTGAATTATATGGATCTATTGTCATTACATTTAATGTAGGGCAGTAACAATTGAGTTGGGTGAATTCGTCCATTTGAGTAATTAGTTAAATACAAAACAGTTTTTCAATTTTTGCATCCTATTGAAATTTTGGCTCAGAAAAAAACAGCGCAAACGCTCGACCAATGGGGCAGTATAATTCAATGCGAAATTGTTCTTGACTTTTCGCATTCTTCAGAGTATTGTCATTTGATGCTGCTCGTATTTAATTATGCTCTCATAAGTTAGATTTTTTCCATTTTTTGGAAAAATCTTACCACAGCGGAACAAGTCAAATAGAGAGTGCTGATACCTAACGAAAATGTACTACAAAAATTGCTTACTTTTGGATATTGTAAACCTTCTTCTGAAGTGAAATTAATTAAGCATTTTTGGTTAAATTATCCTCGTACATACATTATGTGCATGTTTCTACGGTGTCTTTATCTTGAAGTCATTATAAAAACTCTTTTTCAGTACATTTAAAGATTGTTTAGAGGCCGTCCTAAATTAGTGAAATACAGTCTCTGATGTACATATTGCTCACTTATTCTTGTAATAACATTTAGCACACCAACTTAACCTTTTCAGACTAGCAAATCTAAAGACACTTCCTCAGTTTTGATGGTAATGAATACTTAAGTCAATCAAATTCTCAGAATGAGTACAGCAGTTTTATTAATAAGAAATATTTTGATTTTAAACAGACTGACGAATAAACTAGATTAAGTAACTCCTTTGTTAGGTCAGCCTCTAGTTCACGGTTACCACTGAAGATTTCGGCAAGATCCCGAGCCTGTTACCATGGGTTCTGTTCCAGAAGAGATTTGTATCCTGTCATTTAAGACAACATAAAGATTTGGTTCTCCATATCTTGGATGAACTTTCACACAAATAAATGAGGGTCCCTCTTTAATAAATTCTAAACAACCACTACTGCGAATTTATAGAAGATAATGTTATTCCAAACTCAGCTTAGAATAATTAAGGCATTCTGATGCTCTTAAACATTTAGTGAATTTGAATTATATTGAACACGGAAGCAAGTCCGCTTAAATAATTTGTTGAGTTAACAGCCCAGAAATAACTGACAAAATTGTGGCTACTTTACCTTTAAACAGAGATCTATTCTAATTTCTAGAATGATTATCAAAGCACATGCATAAATTTTAAATGGTCGTACATTCGGTATTATGAAAAGTTTTCAATAATATCATGATTTCCTCAAGTATTCCTATCTCGCGTTTCATTGACTTCATTTGAGGTCAAGGCAGAACCAATCGTGATCAAGGACGACAAAATTGTCCTTTAAATAAGTCCGGTTTTAGCCGTGTTCGCTGTTTTTTCTACCTTGCATCTGGTCTATTCGCGTTGTCGAGGTTTCGTTTTGCCTTGTTTTGACTCATCTATATTTCTGCCACAAGCACGGGTACTTTAAACATGTCAAATATCGGGATTTGGCATTTGCTTCACAATCGATGCAACAACTTTTTCACAGGCGGTATTTATCACTTTCTATTGTAGGAAGACTACCTTGCGCTATTCATATATTGTGTTCGCTGCAGATTTTATTAACTTTTTTCGAAAGACAGTAGTCTAAATTATTCGTAAGATCTCCAACGCTTTTTTTTCAGATAAAAAAGTTAACGTGACAGACCGTGCATGCTCTTTTAATTCTACGAAGTAGTGTTCGTTGCCTTCCCAAGAGTTGGTAACTGCTGTTATCTGTATCTTGCTTAGATTCACATTTTTGAAAGCATTGGCTGATCCTCAGGTGGTGAATAGTTCCATCTCGTTTAGGATTTTAGGCCATCTTGACAATAAAATGAGTTTTGACTTTTCCACACAGCTCTCGTTCTTTAAATAGGTGCTCTTTTGGTGGATCAACAGACCAAAGTCAACTGTAATTTTATTGTATTGTTAGGTTCTACTGGATTAAATTGTATCAAGTTCTACATCGAAGATTACCTGGTTGGATATATCCATCGTGAATTTCTACCTCAACTAGCTAAATACTCCAGTGTTTTCGTCATAAACTCTGACTGCGTCCGTCTCCATCCTCAACTTGGCTCGTTTGAGCAGAGAACGGCTGCTGTCGAGAATGTTATGCAGGATTTACGAGGTTCCCTCAAAGCCCTTAAGGGTTGGCAAAACGAAGTAAGCTTGTCAACATTTTCTTAATTTTTGAAAGCTGTTGCAATCGTTTTTGCCCATGGTTCGCATTCGTAGCTTCTCCAGCATCGTGATCATTTTACAATGGTGTTGGTGGGGGTCTGTGGTGTGTGGATCAGTTAGGTGGCTGGTTAAGTTTAAGCGTTTTTTGCGGATTTCTGTAGTGCATTGTGACCGGTTGTAAATCCTAATAAACATAACCAAAGTAAGCATGCTTCGTGTTCCTGACATCGGTGAAGGGGTTTTTACGGAAAATTATCTTGTAAATATCTTACAGAAGTTTATGTGTTTACATAATTCAGCTGTCAGAACTAATATCTCTATTCACCAAAACGCGTTTTGTAACGAGCATATGATGAAATCAAGGGTGACTTATCAATCAATGCAGTTCACGTTCATGTTGACAAAACCGAGGTAGAGTTGTCCATTACCTAAGCGCATGACAGCGATCAATCAGCACAGTGAACTGGCGCTGGAACTTGGGTAATGCAGTAGGGATACTCGAAAAACTTTAAATCTACAACTTTTTCGAAACGCTTATCTGTCCCCTTGTCTATTCCCGGTTGGTTCCTAAGCTGCCAATATTTTTACAGTTAAACCGAATAATTCGTCTCAGTTGTGGTTGAAGTTTATTAATATTGGCAAAAATTCCATTATAGTAGATTTTCCCAGCCTTCTGTCTTTCTTTTAACATGCAGTCTTTGTAATTTCACCCACCAGTGTGCTAATCAGTTGTAGCTTTCCGTCTGCACCTTCTTGCATCGCTGCCACCACCTTCGTGGTGGCGATTGGTGAAGTGTGCTTATTTAGGTGTCTGCCTGTACCGTCTCACTGCCTCCACTGTAGTGTTTCCCTTGTTTTCGTGTTTTCCCCCCAGCATTATGGTGTCTGCGTGGAGGGCCACTCGCGCGCGCTCATGTCAGTCGAGCGAGCCGCCTCCAGGGTCCTGGGGATTAAACGATACGGTGTGCACATCAACGGATACACCTTCCTTTCAGAGCCGTCGATGGCCCCCAAACCGCCAGCTCACGTTGTAGCCGGTGTGGAGGCCGTAGAAGGCCACAATGAGCTCAAACTTTCGAATGTCCCGCCTAATCTCCGAATGTGGATTGCTTTACGGTCAAAGTCTAAGACCAATTGGCCAGGCTTCCTGGACCTCATTGTGAGTCGGGTTGATTTTATTGCTTTTATCAAGTGGTGAACACCGTCATGTGGGGGTAATTTGGAAGTCCGTGCCTCTGGTTTGGTTTCGTATTCAAAGGTCGTTGATTCGTCATTTGTGTCGTTAACTTAGTCTGCGTTCTGAAGTTCTGAGACGCCAGATTAGTTTCCAGTTGTTCTCAAGAGAGGAACAGTTCTTCGGCCTCTACCTAGGTTCTCCAACTGCTATTGACGTGGGAGGCGGTCACTTTTAACTGAATTCCAGTGTTAAAGGCAGCATAACGGACGGGCATTTAAGGCGTGGTGATTGCCGCACGATCCTAGCACGGCCTTAATTCACTCTGGCACCAATGATGTGCCTTGAAAATCACTGCTACGATGAAAACCGATCGAGTATTTAGACGATGTCGGATGATGATACTCCTACACGCATAACCTGATGTTCTTGTAGATAACTGTTGTATTGTTTAACTTGCAGACGGCCGGTGGACTTCCCTATTCAATGAAGGCGCTCGACTGCGCGAAGAAGGAGGCCCGAGAGGAGGCTGGCATTCCGGACGGCCTGCTTGAAAACCTGAAGCCCTGCGGCACCATTACGTACGTAACCCAGTCACGTCAAAATCGATGTTCTCAAGTCCATCGCCCTGGTTGTCCCATGGTAAAAACTGCCTTCATTTTAGCTATGCATTTGACGACGACGCTGGAGTGGGCGCTGGCGTTGCCTACCTGTACGACCTGGAGCTGCCTCCGGATTTTCATCCAGTGAATTGTGACAAGGAGGTCGAGGAGTTCTATCTGTTGTCGCCCCACGATGTAGGTCCTCCCGGCTGGGCTGTTTGGTTTTCCACGTGGTGAATTACAAAGCTTGTTTTTGCCTTAAAGCACAGCTTACTTTGCCCTCATAGTAGATTGCTTGGCTTACGGTCAGATAATCTCACAAAACGCCACTCGTCGCAGCAGTCACGCCTTTCCAAGCGATGCATGCATTTGTTCGAATCCATCTCCCGTCGCTCGTCGAAAAGCCCTCTTGGCCCCTAGTGGTAGCGCCACGACAAGGTCACAACGCTGTCGTTGAAAGTGTTTTCGATTGGCTGAGATAAATGTCTGAGACGTCGCTGGTGGCACTATTTTTGCTTGCCTTTTGAAAAGTCTGATTGACCTTGGTCCGATGTGTTTAGCGTGGCTAACGCTGAGCGCCGACCTGTTAGTGTGGAACTAACACTGGTCGTGTAGGTAGGTAGAAAACTCACAATCTCAGTGCTGACAACTGTTCTGACGTTTATAGCCAATACTTTGCTTGGTCCCGGCCTTGACATCTTGTATGCATGACCTCTACATCTCTCTCAACCCGTCAGGCAATGTGAGTCAGTAGGTGGTAGACAGCCCCGGGCACAAATCTGCTTTTGACGTATATTTTAAGCCGAAGCTATGCATCAGAGAGTGGGGTCAAGCGTCAGGTCGCCTGTTTCGTGTGAGAATTTGCCTCACACATAAAAGACGCAGTTTCACCTTCATACCTATCCTTGGGTCTGGTTGCCTTGTTTGCTTGTCTGATCGTTATACCAGTCTAGTTGTCGATATTGCGTCCATTTCTTCTGGGTTTTGGTTCCCCATTCCTGCCCACTCATTGAACTACCTTGTTGTTGAATAGGAAACCGGCATGTTGATTTTTAAACAAAACTCGAACCTGTTTGTTGCAGTCGCCAATCATGCAAATGGCGTCGTTCTTTGCACGCCTGTCGTTGTAGGTCGCCAAGTTGATTCAGACGGAGAGTTTCAAGCAGAATTGCGGTATGACGGTTCTGGACTTCTTCATTCGTCACGGATACGTCGATCCAGATGAAAGTAAGTGATTGCACTTGGGGCGTTCGTCGACGTCTCCGTGACGTCATTTCACTGCAAATCACTTTTTTTGCAACTTCGCAGATCCGCGTTTGGAGGAGTGGCTGCAGCTTATGCACTACAAGCTACCCTACGATTAGGGACTGGACGTCGTGTGCGTTTATTATGGGAGTCGATGTTGTATTAAAAACCGACTTTTTCCTTGTGTTGTCGTTGTTTTTATACACTCGCTTTGGCTTTGTGTTTCACCTCAGATTTTCACAGGCGGTAAGAGAAAATGGAGAGGTAGCTGGCGACTAATTAAGAATGACATGTCAATCACCTGAAGTTGATTGCTTTGCTGACGTTCTCAAATGAAGTAATGACAACTAATGGGAGATCGGTGAGGCGCTCCAAATTGTGAGATTTCAGAGTTTACTTGACTTGGGGTGAAGGAGTTCAAGCAAGGGCGGGGACTGCCCTACTTGTCCTCGTTGAAATGAATCACCTCAACAATTTGCAAGAGTCGACTCACCTGGCTTAACACAGTCTATATTTTAGTGTCTCGTAATTGGTGCACTCTTCCTTAGTTGACTTGGACTTGGGTTGAGAAGTAGTCTGCCATTTGTGGTGTGCCAGCTTCAAGTGTACAGCAGCCTCATCAGTTGAGTAAGGGGGTGTCTACTGTCACCCCTTGAAACCTGAGTCCACCATGGACTGTCTTGTCAGTTAGGCTAAGAATCGCAAACCACTAAAGTGGCGAAAACCCTTGACGGTGATTGTGCGACGCCCTCGGCAACTTTGGGTAGCAAGTCTCCGGAATGAACGTTTGTAAACCGTGCTTCCCTTTTGGCCATCAACATTGCACAACTCGCACCTTCCTTGTGATCATCAGGAGCTTGTCGATATTACTTACTTGTAGTTGCTACAACCCTAGGAAACAATCCGAGTTGATCTGGGTGCATTTATCAATGGCTACTTTGACATCAAAGAACTGCACTGTGTCAACATAATCATTTTTTTAATCAGAGTACCCAATTTCTCCTATTTATGCAAGTTCCTGTTCAATAGTGCATTGGATTCGGTTGTTTGTGTATAAGCCGCAACCCGTGCGCGACCTCGAGTACAAATAAACAGTCCACTAGGGGCTTGATCGGACACTAAACAAACATCAGTGATCGCTGTCAACCGTCACCTTCTTGCACTCGAGGCGAAAAGTCGTACACTGTCACAGCTCGTTGATTCCAAGTTGAAGCTGCTCTAAGTCAGCTCTTTCGCACATAGTGACTACACGGAGTGTCGATTACACCTATTTTAACGGAATCTCTAACAATTTGTCTCCGCGCAACTCTGACGTACACCAGCTGTCCCAAGCCTGTGTATGGTACTCAATTCTCTGGACACTTGACGGTAAAAGCTGTTCTTGACGTTATCCATAAGCACAACCCCCAAGCATCAGCTGATGGAGTGCCGAAGCCAGTCATCGCCCTTACTGGCTGGCCCCTTCGTTTCCCGACGGTAAGTTAGGCGGCTTGAAGGCCTGGGAGTGACTACATGGGTATTTATAGGCTTGTGCCGTGTCACCGCACCGCTGATGACACCAACACAGGCTAGAGCTCTTTCCAAACTGACTTTGTTGGCTCAAACGTAATGAAGAACGTCGACGGCGTCGCGACTGTCTGTAGATATTGCTCAAGTTACCTCTGGTGAATTCATCCACTTTCAATGATAGTCTGTTCTAACCTCCCCATACCCGAATTGTAGGCGTTAGCTGTTACACCGCAGAAGACGGTTTCGTTTCCCAGCCTTTGGGAGAGACACCCGTGGATGTTATCGACCCTTTCAGCGCTGCATTAGTGTGTGCCGGGAGGCATTTAGCACGTAACTATCACATAATGGAGTCGCCAACCTTGTCGTCCCCGGTAAGGTGGCGCATATGACGAAACAGTGGGAATGTCAGTTCAGTTCTTCTTCTCATACCGAAAAACATCTGTCATGCAGTTCCTATCTGCACAATCTGCTATTATTTTGCGAATTCGGAGGCTTGAGTTGATGCCCTCAGGTTATAAAACAGGGTTTCGACCTGCATTAACTAAACTCGGGCATTGGAACTCTGCGGTAGAAAACTGACCGGAATGCTGCTTGTCGAACAGAGATCTACAGCAATGGGGTCACACGTTGTTAACAAAGCAGAGGGCTGTGAAATGTTCGAGAGAAAGTGCCCATTCAGTGGTTGCGCTTTTCGGGGTCACTAAATGTGTAGCGGCTTCGTTAGCACTGCCTCACAAGCCGGCTAGTTAACAAACCGAGAAGAAAGACAAGACAGACGGTAGTGGATATAATGATTTGTGTACATTCGACCAACCGAGTCTTCGATAGCGCAGTGCGTGAGAACACCTCGAAAGTCAACTGCAATCGAAAATCGATGACATTCGATCGACTCGTGAATACGCTTCACTCGCGCCCATCTGATGCGGGTTCACTGCAAGTCAACTCCTTGTAACTCGTGACTTTGCATGAGATTTACTAGCCGTGCGTGTATGGACCCGTATTAATTTACACTTAGGTACAAAATTTCAAGCTTCTCAGAAAGACCCACATCGACGGCCACATCACGAAACCCATGGCCTACCTTCCATAAAACCCCATTGGATGAAAGGGCTAGCCAAATCCTCTCGCTAAGGAAGAGAGCTGTTGTAAATCCGACACGGGATCACTGTTGAGCAAAACTAGCCATGTAAAAGGCAGGGGACAAAGCGACTGATCTTAACTACAAGGATTTTGCGTTTAACGTTTAGTCTAATCAAGTTGTTGCAGAGTAAAATAAGAAGGAATAATACAATACTAATGATAATTTCATCTAGTTGCTACCTCAAACATCAAATTTGCTTTACACTTTTGGGATTTGGATGAACCTGTTGCAGTTAGAGCCGCATAATTTACCATCACTTGCCCTGACTTGTCGTTCAAAACACGAACAAACTACTTGACGATTTCATGACTTGACAATGATTCAGCCCCACAAAAATCAACAATTACAGAGTGCCGCAACTACTAAGAGGAGCATCATAATTCACAAACCGCCACTGCGTATTATTTCCTGTTTTCATGTCTAAGGAGAATTCAGTGAGCAGAACGACTACGATAACTTTCGGAGACACTTCTGTACCCTTTTAGTGAGCTGGTCATTGATCCATCAGAGATGGATAAAAGCCCCTTGTTGATCCACTCTATTTTTTCCCAAAGATTTGCTTAATTTATCTTGGTAATTTGTTGGATGTCCACCATCTCACCTAATCTAGCCCCATTGTTTCAATTTAGCGTCGCCAACAGCTACACCATGGCTCTCGTTCACGTTCGTAAAGCAAATTATTTCAGTTCTTTAACATATGTAGAAAAGCGTCTGTCACGCAGTCCCTATCTGCCCAATCTGCTAGTATTTTGAACTTCGACACCGTCTACACAATATGCTGAGTCAGTTAATCGTGAGTCCATTTGTCTTTGAGCGTTGTCCATTTTAACACTAAAGCGACTATGTTTGTTTTTATAACCGCATGCAAGCTTTTTTGTTCAGTCATCCTCTTTATGCAGAAACATACAAATTCTGATCCTCATTTCGTGTTGCCAATAAAAACGTAGTTATCCAAGCCCATTTAAAAATAATTTGCTGTAGCGATGTTTTTGCCTTTAATTGTCTTAATTATTGCACGCTACTGACAAATATTTAATTACCAATAATATAATTGCTGATTAAAGCAGTGGCCGCGATCTCGACCAAAGCGCGTGTCGCTTAACATTTTTGGGGCAACACGCATTGAAATTTCCAATTTCACAATCTGAATTTGCGCCATCAAAAATTTTTTTAGCGAAGGCGCAAAAATTGGGTCTAATAAAGGGTGCTTTTGAACATTTTATACTGCTATTTCTCACAAAAAACCCACAATGCGGAAGTGGACCAGTGACAGCAAAATTTTTCCAAGACCTCTAAAAGCACACACCAAATCAAGGAAATTTAAAAGGCCTCAGCCTTACATAACCACTCATTTACGTACCAGTTAAAATACTTGCTTTAATGAAACAAATTATTCCACATTATTTTAAAGAGAAAGAGAAAAAATACAGTCGAAAATGTCGCACGAGATGTTTTGAGCTAAGTAACAGTTAAAAATTCAACATTACAAGCTAAAACGTTTTATTAAACCAAGCATCTGTTGATCTTTAATAAAAGCATTATTTAAATTTAATTACAATGTGTAAAATTTAAGTTAAGTATTTGTCAACAGGTTGAAATTTATTGATTATTTTCCACCAAAGATGTCTCGAAATAAAAAATGCGATTAGCAGACAATATGAAAGAATTTTTTTAATAAATTTAATTAATTTAATGACGTTTTTAAAACTCAAACCTAAAACGCTAGCAACACTCGGCGAAAATTAAAGAGCGAATCATAAAAATTTATTTAATTAAATTGAGTTTCAACAAAACGCATTAATGCAGAAACATTAGATCATCATTTTAGTTCAAAAAGCCTATTTTTAGTTAAAAAATTCCACATGATTTTCAAATGGCGATTCATAAATTTAGGGCATTTTCCAGCTTGCCAATTGCTGCCAAACCCCAGTTGGGTTAAATGAAAAAAATTCGTGTTTTAAATCAGAAACAGACAGTGTGGTAAATTACTTTTTTGCTACGCCAATTAATTTAAGTTGAACGAGTTGTGAAAGAATTAATAAACACGCTAGAATTTTTGCAAATTTTTTTTCCTCTGCATCGTAAATTATTGCTTTCAAAAAGTGAAATTTTCTAAAAATTATGGCACGCTGTCCCAATTTTAAACTTTAAAAAATATTTAGCAACATGCACTTTAATAGCAAAATTTACTACAATCAGCATTCCTCAATCGATTATGACCAAGTTAATACGTTTTATTGCTTCAATTCTATCAAAGCGAAATGAGCATATGAATGCAATTGGGCGATTATCAGTTGCCAATTGTGCGGGGTTTTCAATATCCGCAGGCTTTTTCATTTAAGTCTTCGTCGTGCCTTTAACAACAAGAAGGAGTGACAAAGTCGTGCTGTGATATCCATGAGATGGATGACTATATCGAAACTTCAACCAACCTTATCTGCCTTAGTGACTCTTATAAAGTACCTAAGCTTTGATATTTTGTTCTACTTTAAGGTGTCCCATTATGTCCAGTATCCCCCCGGGACGACCGAAGTTTACTCTTACTTTGAGAGTCGTGGCGGAAAGTTTTCAGAGACTATATTCTTTGGCCTGCAATACATTATAAAACGGTATCTTGCAGGGCCCGTTGTCACGGAGCAAAAAATTCAAGAGGCCAAGAAAATGATGCGTGAGCATTTTGGACGCGATTTACTAAACGAGGACGGCTGGCGTTACATACTAGAAGTGTGATTACTTTTGTCATTACCGCAATTTTCCTTAAGAAACATGGTGGACACCTGCCTATACGCATCAAAGCTATTCCAGAGGGAACGGTTGTTCCAGTAAGAAACGTTCTGTTTACTGTAGAAAATACCGACCCAAAGTGTTTCTGGTTAACAAACTACCTCGAGGTAACTCTATGGTAATATTTTTCATAATATTTCCTTAAGACTATACTTGTCCAGGTTTGGTACCCACTCACTGTTGCCACAAATTCTCTGGCATTCAAGAAAATTATCTTTCAATATCTGAAAGAAACTTCTGATGACTTATCTCTCCTTCCAATATTGATGCATGATTTCGGTTTTCGCGGGGTGTCGTCGATTGAGGTGCTTGTGGTGAACGTAGACTTGTTGATTATTTTATGTTAGTAGTTACGTTTTGCTTAAACTCATAACTTAAATCAGAATACATTCTTGTCCATAAACCATCTCACATCACACCCGATTCTTGCCATGTAGACTTTTCAGTCTTTTGCTCACATCAACATTTCCTTGTTTAGTCGGCCTCGATCGGAGGAACGGCACATCTAGTATGTTTTCGTGGAACGGATACGATGGCTGCTCTCTTATTTGCCAAACGCTTCTACAACTGCGACATGGCTGGATTTAGTATTCCGGCAGCCGAGCACAGGTGCGTTAGCGAAATTTCAAATACCTCAATCACATCTTTCCTATTATTAAAGTGCATGTTCATGTGGCGGTACTTCATGGCTGCCAGACGTAAGCTTCAAGTCGTTTAATCTCTTTTACTGACACAATAGCACAATAACAGCCTGGCAAGAGGCCGGAGAGAAAGACGCGTACAGGAATCTCCTGGAGAAGTTTCCTACGGGCGTCGTCGCCTGCGTTTCAGACAGTTACAACATCTGGAATGCATGCGAACATATTTGGGGTGAAGAGCTTCGCGACTTGGTTAGTTAGTCTCATCTTTGTCCCAGATCGCGATAACTCTTGTTTCTTGTAACCTTCGACCTCCTGACCTACTTTCATTACATGGAGCTTGGTTTTTTCTCATCAACTGAATTTACTACCACTATCAACGATTTCGACTTTGTTCTTTTCAAGGTTATCAATCGTGACGGCACCTTGGTAATCCGGCCAGATTCTGGCAACCCCGAAAAAGTGGTCGTCAAAGTGCTGGAAATTCTGGGCGACAAGTTTGGCTACACTTTCAACAGTCTCGGCTACAAAGTACTTCCTCCTTACCTCAGATTAATCCAAGGCGACGGTGTCAACCTCGAAAGCCTTGGTAAGGTTAAACAAACAAAAAACAAATCGACTTTCTTCACTCTAGTTTATTTCTGATCCTACACAATCTTGCTGTTAGTTTCATCCTCCGTTGTCGTTTTGCCCAAAGGTTCCTTGTTTTAGTTGGAGGGGAGGCGACTTTACACAATCTTCCCTTTCTTCCATGTCTTATCTTTTGTTGTGAATCAAACACTAGTGAACAAGTTAATGCAGTTGGCAATTGGATTTGGTCCACGCTGTTTTGTAGGTTATGTAGGTTGTCTACTCATTGTAGTTTTAGTCTAATTTTCGAAATGGGTGTTCTTTGTGCATTGTGGGTGGATATTACAGCTAAAGCACTAGCCTGGTATCCGCGCTCAGCGCGATTCAGCATGCATTCTTGGTATCCAGTAATCTAGCAGACCCAATTGTCAACCCGTCTGGCAGTTTCTGCCCTCTGGTCCTGACTCCAAATCCCTCATTTTGGCGCGCCACTTCAAGCCTCGAATACACCTGGCGTCGTTTTGCTTATAGGCAGAATCCTCGAAGCTGTGAAGGCAGCCGGCTGGAGCACTGGGAACGTGTCGTTTGGCAGTGGTGGGGCCCTTCTCCAGCAGCTCAATCGGGACACGCAGAAGTGCGCGTTCAAGTGCAGTCACGCCGTGATTAACGGCAAACAGGTGCGTTCTTCGTGTCACCCCTTCTTAACCTCCCCCTGAAGTGAGGTTTGTAGCGAGATCGATCAGGTCTTTACGTATCTGTGTCCTGCCCAGACGGAATTTGAGTCTGATCTAGGCGAGTACTGGGCTAGTCAACCATTACGAAGCTGTTTATAGACCACACTTTTGGATTTTCTGAATCACTACCGAACAGATTTCCAGCAAGATCTACCAATTGATTGGCACTCCAAATTATGCTGTTCACTCAAATCCACGAGTTGACTGATCACATTAGGCAGCTAGTAGTCCAGGCAACTGGGTTTGTTAGGTCTAATTAGAACTACCGCCGCCGAACACAACTTTTTTGTCTGTCTGTGCTTTTGTGGATGTTGTCTTGTCTACGATATATGCCTTTAATTTGCGCACGTGCTTGTCTTTGCCCACTTTTGCCCCTGTGTGTGTGCGTGTGTGTGTTTGTGTATCACAACACAAGGTGTATTCTTACAGCCCTCCTACCGAAGCATCAAGCGTAATCCAGTGACTAATTTCATTCGCACTGCAAATCCATATATTATTGACCATTTCTATTGGCTGGATTTTGACCATTACACTGAGCTGTACTCGAGGGAACTACACCGTACAATCGCACCGGTTCGCGTTGTTTTCTCTGTTCCGTTTATTGTTGATCGACTAACAGGTAACAGAGAGAATTAAACATCAGCATTGACATTCCCTTGTCTTAGCGTACTTTGTGTGGGGCCGACAACGTGACACGTCGATCACCATGTCTCAAATTACCGCCAGGGAATTCCACTTCCACTTGATTTGATTTCATGGGTGTTAACTTGATGCTAGTCAATGGTCAATCTGATTGGTCGACATGGCGAGTTAATCGATGTGATTGAGACGTCTAGGTGTAAAATTGCCCTCCGCTTGTTAACCAGACGACTCTGTGGTTCACTCCTTTATGGTGACTGGGTGCTTCTCGGGATTGAGTGAGTTGATCGTCGAATGAGTCATTTGTGAAGGGCCTCGCAAATTCTTCCAGTCCCTCTGAGAATGCCTCTGGCCGTTTTAATTGTTCCCGTTTGATAGGAATTAAGGCTTGTCGCCACGCCCCTTGCAGTGCTCAAACGGCTTCCTACGAACCAAGTTATTCGTTTTAAAATGCCACTCCCCCAGGCTTTTGTTGTTGCCTCCAATCCCATTGGTCGTTAAGCAAACTAGGGGTGTCGCAATGCGTTGCAGCTTAACAACGTACTACTGCTTGTATATTTGGTTCCCCTACAGGTTAATGTCTGCAAACATCCCATTACGGACCCCCAAAAGAACTCAAAGAAAGGCCGTCTCTGTCTCCAGCGCTCTGCCTCCCAAAATGGCTACGTCACTATGGAGGAAGGTCGGGGCGACTTGGAGAAGGTGAGTGCTTTTTACTCGGGGATCATGCGGGAACTTCGCGTGCCTCCGCCTTGGAAACTCCCCTCTGGAACAGTCATTCAACACATGTTTTCCTCTCTTCTCTGCGATTGTGCTTACTCGAGTTAGCGGCCCTTCTGTCTGTCCCAAAACAAATGTTTGTCGAGGTCCTGTTTAAGCGATTGGTCACTTAAGATGTGCATTTTGAGAGATCAGCTGATCCAATTGGCGGGTTCAGGTGTATCGGACAGTTTGACATCCGCATTGTCGCGATAGGCTGCGGCTGTGACAATTTGCCCATTTTTATACTCCATATTTTGTTGTGGTCCTTGCTGATTACTCTCTGCGACTCATTAAAATAAGCGGCTGGGGATTGCGAGGGAACAACGTTAATATCTTTTTGATAATCAAACCACATGAAAGTGCATTTCAGTTACTCGCTGAGCCTCTTGGATTTCCACCACCACCACCACCACCACCGCAATTTTTTTGAAAATCGCGTTACTTGTTTATAGGATTTACTCATCCCAGTCTTTGAGAATGGTCACCTACTAATTGACTACTCGCTAGAAGAGATTCGTGAAAGAGCCGAATTACCGGAGGTGAAGGCGGCGGCGGCGGCGGCTTCCAAGCTCAATAATCAGCCAGAAACGGTGGTGAATAATGTCAACAGTCATTAGCACTGCGTCGACACCCACCCACCCGCCCGCCCGCTTGCCCGTTCAACCCTCCCATCAGTCTGCGCGAAAATCCACGTAGAAGAACGCAAAATCTCTGCCCACGTGTGTTTGCGTTTCACCGCACCACATTTTGCCCAGATATTTGTGTAATTAATTTGCGGCGCCACAAGTCTGCCGACCCTTCCTCCCCCCACCACCTCCTCCCTCGTGTACAGGCGACAACCTCCTCCTCCCTTCTCATTGTCCCCATTTATTCTATTGTCCCATATTTTTGCCAATATCGTCCCCCACTTACTGTGTGGTCACGCGGATAGTCACGCAAATATCATGCAGGCACGCTCTTTTGGTATACAGTTGTGTGTTCTCGATATGCAGGTGGCACTGACAATAAATGACTCAACTGGGCTGCCTTAAGGCGACCAAGCATTCCTCTCGGGAGACGTCTTTCTCGTTCGATTTCTTGAATCGGTGGGTGAGGGGTTTGTGGTGGTCACACTGTCCCAGTGCGTCAATCAATACCCTCCCCGTGGTTCAAATGCCCAAATTGCGTGGACTGGTCTTCACTGCGGCCGAATTGCATTCATCAAGAGATAACGGTTGGTAAATGTGTCGAGAAGTGTTTAGCTTTGCGTAGATTTCAAGATGTTAATCGAGAAATTGGGTACAGCAGCGCCGTGGACTGCTGGACCCCTTGAAGTTTTTGTAATTTGGTCTAGCCAATCAAATTAGGGGGTGGACCGCGTGTACTTGTGGCTCAAATTTTATTGTTCACACGTTCGTGTTCCCAACTGAGGCAACGTAATCCCGAAATAAGTTCTCTTTTCGGCGCTTCTTTCTTTTATCCGATGAGAAAGCGTTGATGGAAAAGGCGTCCGCAGTCATGAAGTGCAGTGACGATCGACTGAATTTAAATGCAATGATTACGTTCTCATGAGCTTTCTGAACTCATTGGCCTCACTTAGATGTCACCTGTGAAGACGAAAAACAGCTTTTCATCTAACGAAATACCTGTTCTATCAAAGGGAACTAGATTTAGTTGGAAGTGAACAGTCGTTTGAAGGCAGAGAATTGGGGGCCTGGAGGCATCTACTGACAGATTTATGAAAGAGGGTTTCATACCGTTCGGCACTTGGAGTAAGTGTGAAGGTTCTCGTGTACGTGCATGAAAACATCATCTGTTATTCCGTCAGCACCCCAAGACACAGATGACGTCAACCGCGATTTTTCCAATTGCGACAGCAACAATAGAGGTAGCTTGTAGACAACTTTGACTCGACACACATCTGTCTAAAGCTGCACTCTGATTGGTCCGTTTAACGATGGGTGACTTAACCAACGTGGTGGTAATCGAATTTTCACATGTGCGAATTAATTTATCCAAATTTTTCTCCAATGTTAGCGTAACGAATAGAGAAGAACAAACGCAGTCTCAGAAATGCTGTCCTTCGTTTTCGTTGACATTACGTACGAATGCCGTCGCGAGAGAAATTTGCAGGCTTCGAGGCAATTAACTCATCAAGGGATTCACGCACATCGTACAGTGTCTTAGTAACTGTTTATTTACAAAGGCGAAACAAATGATGGCTAGGTGGAGCCAGGTATTGTGGAAAAAAACACTGCTTGATCTGCTGCAAGGTCCTGTTGCGTTTGAATTGAGTCTTCAAGCAGTAGAGCCTGCAATTCCCCATCTTCGAACTTTCAATGCTGTTGTCCGTGAAGCAGCTGGTCACTAAGATAGAAATCACCAATTCTAAAGCGTTTGTACCAGTAATTACGCGGTTTCACAACCACAACGCTGGTACCAAGATCACTGCAAATTGATGCACCGTGGATTTATTCCTTGTTATTGGAATTCGTGTAAAATGCAGTGCCATCCGATGCGCCGTTTGTCAGTTGTCATCGTGAGAAGTTATGTAACTCACGTGCACTTGTCGTTCCGTTATTCTGAAACCCTGCATCCGGTCTTTGTAAAACCACAAAAGACCGCGAAAATGTTGCTCTTCTGTACAAAGTAAGTCAAACACCTAATAACAGGTGTTTATACAGTTGACAGGGGTTGGCTTTGCCGGAAAACGCCTTTGTGAGCTTGTTTACAGGGTGGCAACTACGGTAGACAGCAAGGCGTGCCATGCACCACACGTGAGGCTGTGGCTGAGCCACATGCCAGAAGGTGTGGTCCAGTTTGTTAACAATCACACAGTAAATAAGCCATTTTCACACCTGACGCTATTTGAAGTGACTGAGGACTTGAAGTTAGACACATCGTACAATGCTTCCGGTTACCAAGACTTAGAAATTCGATGCTTGGCTTGGATTTGGCGCCAAGATGCAACTAAAGCTGTGCCAGATTGAATGGACCCAGTTGTGTTTCCATGAACGAGACGATCAACGGTGAACAGGCTCGCATTGCCAAGTGTTGGACATGAACCGACACGTTCCACAACATGTGAATTGCCAACCCAACGCTCCAATCGACACGCCTAGAAATTTCAGCTAGCGTCTACGCCACAACTCAAGTACACCGGAAAATTCTACTGCATAAATCATGTGTTATTGGTCTGCCGTAGTGCCAAGAGGCGGCAAGGCGTAACCTCGTTGGACCTGCAGTGGCTTGTGCCAAGTCGTGTCCATCATTTATGGCGGTGACACCTTGGCAATGCGACCCCACCACCCCACCCGTCTACACACGCATCCCTCTATGTGCTTGTCAGTATTCCTGACCCTACACGCACGCAGAACACCACACAAGCACTAGAGTCTCGTGGAGCCGCTATATACCGTCTTTTAGATCTTCTCCAATAGCGTAAGTGAACCTCAAATTGTAGGAGTCTCGGTGTGTTCACGAACGAGGTCTACTTTGAGTCCCTGCTCAACCCCTCACACGTAATCGCGTGCTTTTACCTAACAGTTCAAACTAGCTTTCGCCTTTGCTCTCCTGTGACACGTGATCAATCAATTAAAAGCAACCCTTTAACCCTGACCTTAAGAGAAGGAGGTAATCAAGATAAGTACGACTTAATGTGATTAAGTGGTCAAGCGTTGACAAGTATTACTTTAATTTTAGTCAGAACGTTGTAAACCACGTGTGGGTGGGTGCAGTTCTTTTCCAGTAGTTCCAACTGGATAATAACTGAGAATTTTGACCCAGCCTTCGACCGACAGTGCTCCTCTTCCATGTTCTGTCGATTGTGTGATCCAGTGTAACACGATCCCATCTGTCCAACAAACTTGGTGCGAAAAATTATCTTACAGTCGGCTTAGTTACTCCTACCTCTGGTTCTACATTGCCTTCCAGGTATGGAATTTGAGCCTTTTTGAACGAATCTACATTTTTTTTCGCAAGAATCTGCCGCCAGCCATGACGTCGAAAAGTGATTGGGCATCGTCTCCTGTCCACTCTTCGCCTTCGAGTCATCATCACAGACAGTCATGCGGTTAATTTGATTGGTCTATTGATTTTCGTCGAATGTTCGCGTAACTCACACCTGTCCTTGAGAATTTGAGCGCATTCCCTGCAGTCACGGGCAATTAAGACCTAGGGTCATCTTCGGCGATCGGTCGATAACATGGCTAAACGTGGCCGGCTGCTGTGTCAGCACCAGCTGTGCTTGGGCTGAATAACAGAACAACCAGATAACGACACCACAGAGCACCGGTCTGCTTGTGCCACAAGACAATCACAGCTTAGAGAAAGGCATGATTTATTAGCTGAAAAGTCAACTCACGAAACCACGAGACCAATTCGGATTACTAAATATGACCCATCTTCCCGTGACAATAACTAATTGGACGATAGGTCAATCAAGCACGGAATTTAACACAGCAGTAAACTCCTCCAAATGTTGCTCACACGCGTCGCAGAGCCACGCAGGTCTATGGCTGGCCACTGCACCCGCCTTCATTCCCCTGCTGGTTAGCGACTTTAACCGAACATTGTGACCTTTTCTCGAAGGTCATCAGAACACAGGCGTGCACTTCTAAGCCTGGCAAATTTTCAGCGCACTTAGGAACTGACACGTAGCAAACCGCTGGTCTAAGCTACACGGCTTTAGCTGCCAATGACTCCGCCATTTCCACAGGCGTCTTGTGTTCACAAACACGGCGGTAAGCCTGCTGCCATGGATACTGCCTCGTTGACTCCCAAGTTCCCTCCTCGTGGCCTCATATCCGTCACCCAACCAGGCTTAGGCAATTTGCCACGTCGACAGAATGAGATTGAGGTCAACAGAGAATTCTCGCACACGGCCATACATTAGGGAGAGAGTTCATCACATAAAATCGACCGTCCATCTAGCAGTAACCCATCAACTGGTCCTGACGTGGCTCTTACTTTAAGGCAACTTGACACAGCTTCCCAAGTCCTATTTTAATTCGATCTACAGAGGAGTAAAGAAACGATATTTGCTACTCGACTATGCCCAGGTTCTTCATGTAGCTCAGACATTTCATCGTACTTTGTGGAATGCAGTCCAACTAATTTCCCAGAAGGCAGTATTAAGAAGCTAACAGTGTCTAACAAATCAGTCAGTGGCTGTCCTGCCGATTTAAGTAGCTGTAAAAGAGGGTTCAACACGACCAGAGACTCACATCCCCAACAGCGCTGTAGAATTTCACACGGCCCTACCTAATACAAACCCAGATACTTGGTCCAGCGCACTGCTTGATGTTCTCATCTACTTTCACCGGCTGAATCAAATCTCACGCATGTCCTGTGTTCCTGAAAGAACCCCTTGATACTTCCTACACGAACCACTCAGTTTATGGCCGATTTATGTATTTTTTTAGTCCAAATCTCTTCAACCACTCACCAGAGACCTTCATTGACGCTCGCGACGAAAGAGAGACTACGGCTGCGTCTACACGATTTAGGTTACAGAGAACCAGTTAGTTCTTACAATTTTTCGATTTCGTACATCGATTTATTGAACGCTAAGACCCAGGTAGATCTGGTGGACACGACCGCTGCTCAAAACTGGCCAGACAAAATGCTCTTCACTGCGTCCACACAATTTGTCTGGTTTTTCCGCCTCACGTCTATCGTTGAAGTGCTATCTAAGAAGCAGCGGAGGTGTGAAGAGAGAGCAGTAAAAAGCTTGCAGAGTTCCACTTGTCACAGGAGGTGAAATGGTTGGCGGCATTCACACCGAAACCCTAGGATCCATGGATTTGTGCTGACTGGCAGCAGATGGAAAAAGGATCTCGCTGCGCGAGACAGTGCCCCAGAAAAATCGGCTGAAGCATCGATTTTCTTCAAGGAATTCCAACCAAGAGAACTTAGTCGCCTCATTAACATGAAAATTGGAATAAGTGATTGTGGGGGTGATTTTTAGCGTGTTCCTGTTCTGTTCACGTTCCACGAATCCTAGGTTTAATTAATCAGTTGTTTAGTGCCGAAGTGTGGTCACCCAATTGACGACACCAAACGCCACACCTCTTAACTGAAATGGCTACAAATCTTAGGCGAAATCAACCATGGTATGTTTATTTGGACGGCAATTGACGCAAGTTACAATAAATCGGGCGCCGTTTACACGACTGTCTTCAGAAGAGTACTTTGTCAAACGCATGTTCCTGTTGATTTGATCATCAGAATTCTCAATTTTTGTGGGTTGAAGTTAAAAACGGGTGTGACTGTCACGTTGCCACAGACGCGATGGAATTAATCCTTGATATTGGTGGACTTGCTATCAACTCGATTCCATTGCACTTAGTGACATGTGGTCTAGCGTTGTCATGGTAAAGGATGGTGGTTTTTCGATTCACCGGATTTGGGACGTTTTGATTGGATTTCAACAGTGACTCTGTTGATTTGCCCACAGTACTCCTCTTCGTGTTTCCCTGCAATCTCGCTAGACGCACAGGAGCATTTTCATTGGTTGCAGCAGTTCAGCCTTTGTTTAAATGCCCCAATGCCGTCAAATTGTCAACAATATGGTCGAAGTGTGTCGTTTAGAGGGAAGTCGCCATCTTGAAATCGACTGCCCTAAAGAACTGCCATGTAATAATACGATTGTGGGATTACAATCACCTAAGCCCAACGATAGCTTACTGATTAACCAATAAACGCTCAGTTTAGCATTGTTTGATGAGCGAAGTGTCTTCTAGAGGGAAGTCGCCATCTTGAGACCGAATACAGCGCTGTCCAGTTGCACTAGACAACTGCGATTATAATCACCTAAGCCCAACGATAACTTACAGATTAACCAATGAACGATCAGTTTAGCATCGTTTGATGAACTGACTTTTCACCAATAATAATAATTAATAATAAAGAGCATCTTTATCACGAAAAATCATCTCATAACCAAGGTTAGGAAATAAAAGCAAAATCGGTGATAATGGACATCGCTGTTTGAAACTATTCTCGAAATATTTAAAAAATTTTACAATATCTACTGAAACAAAAAACGTAGCAAAGATAAATCGCGTAAACACATTGCATCACGTATCTTCGAAATAGTTTTTTGGTGTTTGAGCAGGTTGTTAGAAATGAACAAACCATGGAAACGGCCTTGGGCATGAGTGTTTACAGACATGGCATTATCAAAACATGATAGATGCACGCCTCGGCCTAAAACAACATCTGGCTTTTTCCACAAACTCACTGTTAATTGATTGAAGGTTAATCCGAACTAATTCGCGTGACTCATGCAAATTGAACAAGGAAATTTAAATTTGATAGCTGAGGGCCAAGGTAACATCTTGAGGGAACATTCCTTAAACACCAGTGGTGTTTTATGCACCCTAACAAGATTTCCTCACTCGTTTTTTCTTGATTATAATGATGAACAAATAAGATAATAAAGATCTGATTCCGTCAATACGTGACTGCGTTGACGGAACGAAGAATCAATCATCCTCTTTTAAGTTTGGAAATACTGCTACTGATTTGTTTAAGTAGACATTAAATTAATGTTTTGGAAAATTATGTGTGTAATGCGCTTACTTGTGCCTCAACGATCATGCAGTTCAAGTCAGAACGTCTCAACACACGCTTCTATCTAGCAACAAAAGCACAAACTCTATTATTCTCAAATTTGTCAATTACTAGGCATGAAACGATACCGAAACGCCATCGCAACCAGAAAAGGCATAGGATTTAAACGATAGCGTATCAAAACCGTTACTCTAGCCCCACACAAAAGCCATGATATCGATTTAAATCGGATAGCAGAAGAGGTTGGCAGCAGCAAAGAGAAACAATAAATGTTAGTAGAATAAGTCGCCATTTCCGAAATTTCGCTACCCTTTAATCGGATCAGTCCAAATGCCTGAAATGTAACAAGAAACTACGCAAGAAAAGTCTTGTCGAAGCGCACGACAGCCCCATGCCAGAACGCGCGCTGTGGCCGTGCGTTGCCCGCGACGCCACGTGACTCTCAGTTTAGCGCGAAGCGCGCCAAATGAAATACCTCGAGTTGATTGGCTAATGCCGAAACTGTTGTCAGCCGTGGAGGCACGCACGAGTGCGTCACTGCACTTTTATGATTGGCTCTGGGTTAACCAATAAGAAAGCCCCAAACAGTCTACCGATCGATGGTTAGCACGACAGACACATGCGCCGCATTCGGCAGTGTTTTGCGCCTCTGCGACTATGTCCGATGCAGTTCCGCGGTTAGCGGATGGTTTTGATGCAACAGCATCTCCATTTGCACTGGCCAGCAATATCAGAGCGCGCACAACCGGACCTTCCAATGTGCCGAGCTCCAGTGAGGGTAATGCGCCTTCAAAACATCGACGCGAAGGCTCAGCCGCGCAGGACCCTGGACGATGCTGCAAGAAAACGCCGCCTGGCCACAGGAAGGCGAAGTATCCAATCGCTTTTATCGCGTCTACTTGGGGCTTCCTCACTAACATCGAGAGAGCTATCATCCTTCCGACAATGTGGCTTTTCTTCAAGAATTACTGGGGCGAGGCTACTGCCGCCAGTTTCTACCCAAGTACTCTCGGAGTTTTCAGTTTGTCAATTTTGATTGCTACGCCGTTATTCGGCTGCGCTGGCCACGCCAAAGTCAACGTAAAGTATCTGCTCCTCCTGGCCAACCTCTTGGAGGTGGTTGGCAATTTGGCGTACCTTTGTGCCTCCAGTCCTTGGCTCGTATTCATCGGACGCATGATAGCCGGTGTTGGAGCTAGTTGCGAGCCTCCCATGTACGCGGATCTCACGCGGGCCACCGAGTTTCACGAGCGAACACCCTTTATCATCGTTCTTTTACTCTCGCGCCAGGTTGGGCTCATTTTTGGCCCCGCATTTACCCTCATCTTAGACCGACTCGACGTACAAGTCTTCGATATGAAAGTTAATGTCTATAACGGTCCTGGATTGGTTATGGCTTGTCTCTGGGTCCTACATTCCATACTTATTCTGATCTTCTACCCTAACCTCGACAAATCGGGAGTCTATTCTGATGACGTACAAAAGTCTGCCTCTGGCACCATCATTCCCACCTCAGATGAAGGCGCCCCGAACACACGTGTGGAGGTTCGCTTTACTGGTTTCTGGCAGTACCGGTTTCTCACTCTCTACGCCACCACCTTTGCGTCGTACTACTCCGTTATGGCACTTGAATCAGTTCTCTCCCCACTGGCGAATCGCGCTTTCAATTGGGGCGCTGTTGAAGTGAGTTACATATACATTGCAGCCAGTATTTTGGTAATAGTTGTGTCTGGCATCATGCACTTTATGTCCAAGTGTATCGAGGATCGCAAGCTGATTGTTGTTGGTCTCGTTTTCCTGATTGTTTCCTACACTTACCTCACTGTGGTAATCGATTCCCTTGGCCCCTTGGGTGAATGGGGCAAGGCGCTCGTAGTAGTGGGCGTTGGGATCCACGTGATTGGAATGCCCTTCCCACTAGCCATCTCGGAGTCTCTGTACACCAAGTTCGTTCCTGCGCCGAGGCTGGATCACGCCCAGACGATCCTGCGAACAGTGATCAACGTGGCCTTCCTCGTGGGGCCGTACGTCGGTGGCAGCTTCCAGGCTCAGCCCACGTCGGTCTTCATGTCAATGGTACTCATCAACTTCATCTCTCTGGCGATGTTTCTGTGCAAATTTGGCGATTTCCAGATCACCCCTGAAATGCAGGTGGACAACGCCCCTGCCTCTGTTCGACCCGACAAGTCCCATCTTAGCGTATAGCGAAATCGCGTGTGTATAAAGTTGCTTTTCATTGTGTACATTAATAACTTATGCAGCGTCTCAGTCATTTTTATCTACTCAATGGTGGTGATGCCGTTGCAAGTGGGATTATGCATATTTTAAACTCACCTGTGTCATCTCTGTTCGTCCTACAGGCTGTGTTGTAGTCCCATGCTGCTTCCTATTGCTTTATTTTATACCGCTTACGTTCCAAATGTTTCCGAATACATTACACCGAAGAGAATATGTTCTGTTTTAACCCAGCGGCCTGTATTTCGTCCATACATGCATTTGACGACGGGTAAAGTGCGCTTTCTTTAATTGAGTTGTGTAAACACTGTCAGGATTTAGTTTTGATTTACGATTTCGTGAAAAGGTTGCAAAGAAGGTACTGGGGAGGTGCCGATGGGGGAATTTGTGTGTAGATTGATTCAGGACACTAGCGCAGTTGACAGCAAAGTTCTTAAGGTAACCGGTATCCAGATTATCCGACGGGGTATTTGGCGCGCGTGTGGTGTGGTCGACTCGTCTCGTGTTGCCCGAAGCAACAGACAGGCAATCCTCCAGGTCAGCCATTTGGTGTCCCATTTCGGGAGCTGGTCTTACCCTCTAGGTGTTTGGGGCGGTTTTAAGTAACTGGGTTTAATGGATTCTGGTCTATCGGCACGTGACAGCCAGCCATGGGTCCAAGATTTTGATCTTGTCACTACGGGGGGCCTCCCGTCAACAAGTCTTCCTTTAAATCGCTGTTAGCGAATCGTTTTGTCGTGGACCAAAGTAAGGCGGACAATACTAGTTCTTGTGTTGGCTGGGGTCATTTGCCCCTCAGAGGGAACTCGTAAACAAGTCTAGCTTCCTAACGGTAAATGGCTCGAGAATTTTGCCCCTAGGGAGGTGCCAGGTGGCTGTAAACTTCACTGTTCGATTGAACTTTAATATTATTAACGAGTGTACCAGGAGACTGTGGGTTATATAATCTAATTAATCTACTGTTTTACGAAATTCGAGACACGCGGAAGATTGTGTCACTATTAGTAAGCCAATGAAAATCGATAATCAACACAAGCTGGTTGTTCCAAACTGTCTGGCTTGGCGATCGATCGATTTTGCTGTGGTATTTGCTTGGATTTGTCAAAAAGGACATAAAGACAGTATTCTACAAGTTGTTATTATCTGAGACACGAATTAGTTGCGGTGCGGATCCGACAAGATGCAGGCGTCGTTGTCAATCGAATGATGCGTGCGTGCGTGCCAGTGGTGTCAGGTAGTTTAGACCGACATGTCAGCTGTGATGTTTATGATTACGAGATGTTCACGGCTTGGCTTGTAGGCTCAAAACTTGATTGGGTAATTAATCTCAGTTTTGGTGGCTCGTGCCAAGGTGTTTGATGAGGTGGCCAGTGTCCTTCTAACTGGCAACAGGAGGATCACACTTGACACCGAACTAGCGCAATCACCGCACCAAGTTGCACGACCTTTTACCTTCATCGATTAGTGCATACCAAACCAGTAGGATTTACGGATTACCTTGTTGTGGGTCCCAGCATGCGGTCCTGAACCACGCCGGGGCCACGAAATTAACCCTGGCCCGATTACACTTCCCTGATACCCACAATGAAGAAAACGACCGGAGAGGACGTGGACACAACCGTTTACTTCAGAGCTCAACCACGTTGGTGTCGTCGTGTCGTGTGTGGCGTTTGCGCGTGTGCATTTATATCTCGGATGTGTGAGTCATACATGCGCCAACATCGAGACCTAGGTGTGGGGATACTCCAAGATAAATATTCGTGCTGATGAAGGGGGAGTTGAGGATCCGCGCGGCTGGCGACATGCTGCGACAAGGGGAATCCTGTGTAGGAGGTGGCGCGACCAGATTAAAGGGTTGAATAAGCATGATTCACGACAACCTCGGTGCGATTCGCCGAACAGATCATGACGTCTTTTGGATTGCCTGTCAACTATGCAAATACAAATCAGCTGAAGGGTTGATGATATGCCAGTGTCTTAACCACTGCCACTTGCCGCCGCCGAAATTTGTGACGGCGACCCTAAGTGCGACACGCCGGCGAACATTTGACGAAGGAGGCAGGGCATGAACTCGAACTCTCGCTCCTTCGTCTTAGGAGCTAAATTTTCCTGGATGTCTCAAGACATGTTTGTCAAGTGGTTCTCAAACCCGACTCACATTTCTTTACCGGACAAATATCTAGAGTCCTGGGGATGACTTTATTTGGTAGTTTGGTTGTACAGAAATCTTTTTTGATTCAGCATTCCTCAATGTAGCATCAAGTAGATTGAGCTAGTGAAAGTTGTGGACAAAGCAGTCACGAGTTTTCACCATCTTCAACCTCAAGGATTCGTCGTTCATCTCCTCCAGATACTGTGGGCCTTTACAACTCAAGCAACCTCATGCTACGGCATTCAGCGAATCGGAATAATTCTGTCCGTTTGTGCTGTTGTTCTAAACGAGTGGTTAGTGTATCTTTTTGGGCTAAAATCAAGAGCCTGAGCCACGTACGCACACACAAACACGAAAATTAACTTGTGAACACGATCCAGCAGCCAACCAATCAAAATCCACCAAGTAAACATTACTGATGGGTGACAAATTACGCTCGTTAGCTTGGTGTAAGCATTAAACATGTCAAAGTTTTTTTGACACGAAAATCCATTTCTCTGCCTTCGATTGCGACAAGTCACGACACTGCGAAATCCACCACAGGCAAGCTTTTACCACAACTGCGACATTCAGCGGTTTCAAAGCCTTCACGTGGTAGTGCAATATGGTGTGTAGTTTTTTTTGAAAATCACGTGCGGTTGGTTGTTTTGTGGACTATTGAGAAGATTTCCACAAAGTGCGCTGCACCACGCGACAGACATTATTGCTTTTATCACAAAATCCCATCTTCGGGGCTTCGCACTAGGGGTCCACGTGACCGCAATTTCGTGTAATTGATAAGCGCCAAGATCTATTCTGTACTTTTTGATGCTGCGGCACGTTATCCGCATTCCCCAATCTTCTCCACTTCAGGCTTGCTTCCACCATACTTTAGAAAAGCACGTATTTTAGCAATAACTGGGGAAGAGTTGTCATGTTTTCTATTCTGTAACTTTCAATTTTCCCATCAATTTTCATAATATTATTGATATCGCTGCTATCGTTTCGCCATTTTGAAGAACCCTACTTACACGCGTTACACAAGCTTTGGCCGTGTTGGTGGTGGTGGTAGTGATGGTGAAACATGTTAGCGATCAGCACGACTGCATGGGCCTTATTCAAGATAGTTCGAGAATGTTCTTCCCGTGCATAAGCTGATTTCAGTTTGATCTATTCCAAAGTTCAAATTGGCGCAGCCGGTAAACTCGTTTGAGTCTATTAAAGCAACTTCAGCACATAATCGTGGCGATGGTGTGGGTTCGTTGAAGATCTACAACTGCGCGGTCGCATAGTGAAACATGGCGCATCTTCCAATGCAGTCGATCGCAAAAAATAGCGCCGTGAAAGCTTAATCTACAGCGAAAACCGGTCTAGCATGCAAGCGTTGCGTGAATTTTAATCTACTCGTGCGCCATTTTATGACTTTGCTTGGCACCCACGCAGTCAACAAACCATGCACGCTTTCAATGCTATTTCGAACAATATTTCGAAGTCCAAGTGGCCAGTTCTGCTCTCAGCAAATTTTGGAAAGCAAAATCAATGTTGTTCAAAGAATCTATTGCTTATCCTCTCTGTGTGGATCCGTTGAATCATCATTTGACCGTGCACAAGTTAGATTCAATGCTCCCAACTATGATCTGAGTGGTTTTACTTGCCTTTTTCGTAAGGGAGATTTCGTCTGAGGGCCATTATTGCAGGAACTTGGCGGAGGGGGGGGGAGAACATATCCACTTTTGGGTACTGTTTGGACTACAAAAACACTATTTTTGCCCATTTTTCGAGGCAAAATGTTTGTTTGCATGGGCTGCGGCCCCATCCATCGAAGTGGCTCTCGATTTTTGAGTGCCTTTTGCGTCAGCCACTCGTTTTTTACACGTTTATTAGCTAATTTTGAGTGGTTTCATTTAAACAAAGATTTAATGCGCAAAATTGAATTAGCGTTACTGTGACGCATCAATGTGCACCACGACCGCTTATTGAGAAATAATTTGGTGTTAAAAAGATGCTGACCATTCTCCTCACGAAATCCTTTACCGATGACGCCATCAGTTGCACACGGCCCGGTCCAGAATGATTGGCTGAATCAAATAATTATCACAGAGAATATCGGTGTTAACAATTTACCATACAAAACCCCTTTCAGCGTCTAATTTGAGTTCATGTGCTCTGATTTTACGATCAAACACCTGACCCCGTACCCGCTCTAAATTTATTGCCTTAATAAAAGTTACATGCCCATGCTACTGGCAATTTCCACTCAGGAAAATCCCAACTTCCACTCGAGTTTTGGAAACACGGAAATACCAGGTAGGAGAAGTTGCTTCCGCAGATTTACTTCAGCAAACTGCGAAGCACACGAAGGAGTAATTTGGCTCTGTTTGCATCTTCTGACTCAATTTGACTCAGCGTTGGAAGTCGTCGGTAAAATCAAGCAATTCATCCAAAAAGGGCTGCGTTAGTGAGTGGATTTCGACTGAGTCGCCTTCGCAGATCCAGCATGAACTCCCACAAAATGTTGAGTTGCTCGTGGAGCTTTTTCATCACAAATATGTTAGTCGACTTGCCCTGTTTTCAATTCCGGTTCAATTATTGTGGTCTTGAACCACGCCGGGGCCACTGAATTAACCCTGGCCCGATTACGCTTCCCTGATACCCACATTGAAGAAAAAGATCGGAGAGGACGTGGACACAACCGTTTACTTCAGAGCTCAACCACGTTGATGTCGTGACGTGTGCGCGTGTGTATTTATACCTCAGATGCGTGAGTCATACATGCGCTAACATCGAGACCTAGGTGTGGGGATAATCCAAGATAAATAGCCAGGTGAATGAGGGGGGA